AGAGAGAGAGAGAGAGAGAGAAGGGAGCGAGAAAGAGAGGAAAAGAGAAGGGGAGACAGATAGAAAGAAAAAGAGAGAGAGAAAGAAAGAGAAGGGTTACATCAGATCACCGAGACACGCTGCACGTTTCACAGTCGAGACGACGACAGACTGATCGAGAACGGATCTCCGGTGTGCACGGACGGGCCGCGGCGAACGTCGACGATGACGATGATGACGACGACGACGAAGACGGATTGGAGATCGACAAATGGGTGTATGGATCCAGCTGGGCACCACGAAGCTGGCCCGATTCGACACGAGAGACCATGGCGTATGTGCACGAGCCGAGCCGGACCGCCACGGTACGAACCGGTGCGAAGGAAACCTTCGACGGTCGCGAGAGAGTGTGCGAGAGAGACCTGAACGGGGCCCAATCTCACTAGAGGGGACCTCTATAGCGCCTTTCCCCTAACTCCGACGCCACCGTGCTCTCCGACTCGCGTGTGGACACAATTTTCTCTTCGCGTGCGTTTTCTCGAACACGTTGAGCGTTCGTCCTCTTTGTCTTGCCTGTGTCTTTCCGCGCTGATTAATTCGAGCAGATGATCCTTTTTGAGAAGTGAATCCGAATGTCATCGAGTGTTTCGGAGTAGAAATCGATCGAACGATGGGATGTAAATGCGGCTCGTAATTAAATAAGAACGTTCAATGTACCGATTTGATTTTTGTGAAGTTCTTAGCGGGAACGCGTCCAGGTTCAAACATACGTTATGATTCTTACATACTGATCTTTATTTTCCCGCGATAGTGTTACCTGATCGACTGATGATAGAGTAAGTTTGCACGAAGGTGTCCAGAACAACAGAGGTTGAAATAAGAGTGCAAACTTAAGACGAAATCGTCGACACAAAAGGAGTCGACTATATCGTATTTCCGATAACTCGGATAGCCTTCCTACACGAATAAGTTCATCGAACAGTATAAACATTCTTCCATTTCAAAAACAGTGCTCCTGGCGAGCATCTCCGTTCGCATTGCAAAACGAGAAGTCAGCTAAAAGTAACTTCGAAGAAATTGCGTTTGTGCCTGTTCCTTTTTAAATGAAAATTGAATTTGAAACGAACACTCCATCAATCTCCAAATTGACGGAACAGTACGCGTTTAATTTTAAATCAACTTGCACGGCGTTACAGTTTTTCTTGAGGAGCATTCAACGCGAAACGCAAAGTTGTTCCAACAACTTTTTGTCGAATCGATTCCTTTGCCGCAACGCGCGCCGTATTAAACCGCTAGAAAAGCGAAATACCAATGCACAAATTTAATTATAGTTCGGTGATTTATTTCTTAGCTTGGCGTGAGTAACAGTCTTCCATGAAAACTTTTGAACGATGTTAATTCGATAAACATCTTGCCGTAACAATTTGCAGTTTCATTCATTTTCCACATCACGTTCCATTAATACTTTTCCCATGTAAATTGTGTTTTAATTCTGCACATACGTAATATTTTATTACCGGTTGTACGTGCGAAATCTTCAGTTTCAAACTACAGATAAGTCACGAGTGAACAATTGAGAATAATAATAAAATTTGTTCTCCCCTCTTTATTACGTTTCTTAATCCTTTCATTTGAACAGAACTCATTTCTTCGCTTTTTTCAAATAAAGTTCTTCCAATGCAGAAATTTCGGAGCATTAAGCATTATTATACGAGTTAGATGTTCAGATTGCAGGCTCACGGGTTTCTTATACTCCTGCATTGCATCCTTCCAATTGCAATGCAACGATGCGTCGATATTATCCCTTGATTCGTCCGTAAGTATTAGCGAAATCACGTGCCGGTCGTTCATTGAAAATCTATTTGCGTTGCCTTTGCTAACTACGTAACAGCGGAGCCACGAGACTTGCCATTCACGAGGCCGAGATGCGCCTTCAAGAATGGAAACGGCGGCAACATTGTACGCGATGCTTTCGGCCGACACCTAAATTGAGAGCCAGTTTAAAGCTAATTTACACTTGCACGACGTTAAAATGAACTGTCACATTATAATTTCCGAGACAAATATTAATCTTCTTATTTTCGTTTCTCACTAACATCGGAAGAATCAGCCAAGTAATGGATCGGTAAATGTCTCCAAGGTCTTCGTTTCGTGTCTTCGTATCATTAAATATTCGTACAGAATTATATAACGTGTGAAAGAATTTTAAACCAAAAGACTTACGATATCCGTACATGGAAAATCTTTTATCAAAGATATGATTAAATACACATCACTAGACAGGATTGAATTATTCATACGTGGGATGAAAATTATTCATACGCCCTCTGAAATTGCCAGAAAAAAAATCGTGTGTAAAATTTGGCGAATTATATTAAACGACAATTAAGGTGAATAATCTGACTGAGAAGAACAGAGAATTTCAGAGGGTTCGAGGGATTGAGGGCAGTTCCACACGTTCGCGCTTACATATTTATAGCTTTTGGACTAGCCAGTTTAACCTCGCGAGTTTATGAAACGCATCTTTTGCTCTAGGTCTACGTAGCTAGAACGTAGTTGCGCTCCTATATTCTCCTATATCATAACTTGTACGGCAACGTGGCGATCTTTTTCCCTCGAGAGAGTAGCAATGGATCGCAATATCCACGATCCCCCTTGATATTAGATATGCCTACAATAACGAGCTGTTCCACGTAGTTGTAGATCGATTGCCAACTATGGTAGAAATTCTTCTCGTAGCAGTGGCTTCGATCGAAGATACCATTACTCCCACATTATTTCCCAAACCAATTTTCTCCTATCTCGAAGCAATCCTTTTGCATTCTTCTACTTTCGGTCAACGATTACTGTCGCTTAATCCTTTCACTCGCTTTCTTTCTGCTGTTCCTCACAAAAATTGAACTCAATCGAAAAGCACAACGCACATAAACAGCAATAAACAAAAGGCGATAACTATTATCGAACTTATCAAATTACGTTGGTATAATTGAATTACGAGGTTTCGTTACGCAATCGAAACACGAGGACTACGATCATCTCGTTGTCTCGAGAATATCTCGTTCATTACGCAGTACGATATTGTGCTCGATGACTAACGAAGAGGCTCGCGTGAATTCTACGATGTTCCATTCAATTGTGGACCTTCCGACATTCCGTTATTAACGTCCAAAGGATCCACCGGATACGTATCATTTAAAGTATCAAACACACTGTTGTTTGTAACAGCGCCACTTAAATGCAATGAGTTATTTTATATTTAATATGCACTTGTACCTGCATGCTTTCGCGTAAGTGTTGCAAATTAGTTTGCAAAACAGATTTCGCAGCCCATGTTTCTACTGCTGAATTATAACTCCATTGTCTCGTGAGTTACGTTGTTAGTGGTATCGGCGTGTAACCGATTAAGTGAAAGCTCCCTGTCGTTTTATTTAGACAACTTTATGGGACTTAACATCCAGCATAGTCAAAGGCTATCAAAGCATTTGCGACTGCATTATCAATCAGAGATCTTATCTGATCTCAGGTTTATTTGCATTTGCGGTACCAAAATGGCTGCTTGCCACGGAAACCGCAAGCAGGTAATTCGAAACCATTGAACTACATTTTCCATGGGTTAATCACCGACAATGCTCGACTCTTGGTAATACACATACATTAACTGCGATACTTTCATTGCCTTGTCAAGGTATGCTTTATTAAACGATCCTATTCTTCCGTCGATATCTACCATCAATGATTGCGGAAAGCATAAAATTCCATTTATTCGTTGATGTAAGGAAACTTTACACACGATTCACAAATTTTTCAAAACTATCAAGTACAAAATTATCAAATTTTTCAGACTGTAATCTTTGCATTATGTTAAATTTTGTTAGTAAAATATGTTTGCAATATTGAAACTGTACCACAAAATGTGTCCCTTAAGACTTGAATTATTTAATAATTAATGCATTTTGCAGTAAATGATTTAGTTTTTCTTAAAATATGAAATTTTGTAATAGAATCTAGTTTTATATTGCATCATACTGTGTATTGCAATTTAAGGTTTTGAATTTCAAAACTCATTCTTCAGGGAAACTGTTACTTTCTTGCAGTAAGTATGTCAAAATAAGTAATTTGGATCTTTAATAAATCGATTTATAATATTTTAATTATTCATTACTTTAATTACTAATTACTGAAAGAATTAAGATAATAGATCTTGTCAAGCTACGCTCAAGTATTGAAGAAACCGCCATACTAATCCTCCACCAAAGTGGAAGGGATACGCTACTACGGCGCCATTAACAGTATGCTTACTAACGCGTATGTGGCACTGTTTCTTAACAAAACGTTTTTCAAATGATCAAAATATTTGAAATCTGGTGACTTGTCACGATAACGATTCAACTTACCAAAGTAATTTCATTTAGTAGACATGAGTAGACTTGAAAATGATATACCTTTAAAGTTGTATTCGATAACCAATCATGTGAAGTAAGAGATATAGTGAATGACTCATTGAAGATTGTTACGTAAAAATATCAAAATACAAACTTGTTGATTTGATATTTGTATCACTGGAAAGAGCAATTCAATTATATTCTCATTCAACATAAAGATGTTATACTTTCCTATGAATTATAGATGAATTTTATCAACTATGTTATTTAACACTAATTTTTATATCTTTTTGTCATACATTTTAAAGTATATTAATTACTTACTTTCAAGTTGCTTAAATTGAAAGCTCCAATTTTAAAGTTGTATTAAGATATGAGAATGAAAACAGTATTTCGTTGAATTTGTTTGCTAGTATTTTTCAGTTTATGGAATTTGTATGTTGGTAGACCTTTCACGTGTTAACGCCCAAGTCTTGAATATACTAACAAGTGGGTAGTGTTTATTAATTGAATCATTCATTCTCTAGTAGTTAATGAATGCAACCATAGTTATTACACGTGAATTTTTATTTTAACATAACTATTACCATGTTGGAGTCTTGCTGGTCACCATTTGTCTGGACCAATAATATCAAGACAGGATGCAAGGCTATTGCTTTTTACACAGTTGTATGTATCTTTAATTAAAAATCACTACTTTATTATATTAGTTTTATGTAATTTCATCTGCTTATTCTTTATTGTAGGCTATCAGTATAATATGTATTACATTGGTTTGTTATCAATTGAATGGAGGTGATTCATCTCAAATATATAATCCTTTGTTTGAAGCTGATGTTAGAGGATGTAAGTAATGTAATTATGTGTAATAATATATGTGATTACATTTACACATTATGTGTATATTTTTCTAGCAATGCAAATTGGTGGAGGATTTATCATTTTCTATTTGATTCTCTTAATTATGTCAAGTGGTTTGATGATACATGGATTAAAAGAAGGAATAAGAGGATGGTTACTTCCCTGGCTTATATTGTGGTTCATTGTATGTTTGTTTCAATTAGTTTTTGGCCTTTGGCTTGTAGGAGGGTATTACATCTATGTAAGTCTTGTATGCACCGTAAATTTTGTTTTCTACAAGTTCATGAATAATATTTTATTATGTTTGTAGCTCGAGGCAACATTTGCAGCACTGTGTATTTGGTTCTGGATGTCTTATAATGTAAGCACAAAACAATACTTATTGTATTCTTTTATTATATTTACATTATATTTATCTCATTGTTTTTTTCAGATATATTGTTGGTTAGTCGTACTGTCAATGTACAAAATATTTGAAGAACTACAATCTCCAAATATAGAGCTCCTCTGGCCTTAAATAGATGTATAATACTAATAATAAGATATAAAATACATTGATTGGCACCAAAGTATCATACAGCATCTTTAAGAATGCAGGTATACATTTGTACATTTTCTTCAAAAGAAAAATTTATTCATTAAATTTTATTCACAGAAATGATATTATTTAAAAACTAATTTAAATCAAATGGAAATCATTATCATGTGTTCAACTTGGTTATGATTATTTATTTTGACATACCTAGTATTATAAATATAGGTGTATAATACTTACGTGTCAATAATGTACAATTAGCTAAATGCTTTGAAAGTTTAAAACTTTCACATTTTAACAAAAGACTGATAATGGTCTAAGAAAACACCCGTCCAAATTTCAAAGTACTCTTGTGAACAAATGTACACAATAACATTTTATAGATGGTTGCTTTACACAACCAAAAAAAAAAAAGTACTAAACATTTGTAACGAATAGAAATTTTTATATAAGATATTTTATGAATTTGTAAAAATTTTGTATGTTTGATATAAATAAAAAAAAATAAGTTAATATACCTTCAAAAATATTATATTAAGAACAAACATATGTAAAAAAGCTTAAAACTCAATCCATGAAAATGAGGTTATTTGAATGGATACTCGGAAATAACGAGTCTAATTAGTATTAAAATGTTCTGAACTGTAAAAAATTATTCGATTAATGGCTCAAAACTATACAATGCAAAAACTAGCAACGAAATAACTCAAATAATTATATAACTTACATCTTTAATATAATCTTACACCATTAAGCAAGCTTCTTCGTAAACGCAAGTGCCATCTACCAAAACATTTAAAACTAAACAGAAGTTAGACGCGCAGATAAGGCGCGCAGTTGAAACACGCGAAAAATATATTTTTTCAATTTTATTTTATTTTGTCAGAAAATATTGTGAATGTTCGTGTTAAAAAGAAAGAAATAGAGTTATTTCTATTTTTTCTCAAATTTGCAATTATCGTAAATAGACGGCACTACTTGATCAGTTTAAATAAGTTGAAATACGTTCATGGTAGATGGCGTAAAGATGTACTCATTGGTATTCCTGTTTCAAAATTATTATATAATATTTGAAATATCATCAAACATTATAAAATACTTATGATTTAAAATAGTTACTTTTTAATAACAATTTCTAAATCACGAAAAATAAATTCATTTGTTATGTATGTATTTGTGTATGTTATGTTTTGTGAATAACTGTGTATTACAATATTGATTTCTTCAACATATCTCTTTCTTAACTCGACTCGTGTTGATGTAGACATTTCTTGTAATAAAGATATAAAAATATGAAATAAATTGTAAGTTCATCGACCTATCTTTAAAATTACAATCAATAGTTAGATCAAATGTGGATTGTGATTCACTGATTGTATGATTAAGGCATTATTGGAGGGAATGACAAGTTTCCAAATTTTTTTTAAGTTGTTCCATTCTTGATACGATAATTAATGAGTCGATTTGAGGACCACCGTGTTCGTCTCCGTCAAAGTTAATATTAATGAGCCGGCGTTAGTGACATGTTTCATATTTTTATACGTAATTAACAGTGACATGTTTCATATTTTTATGCGAAGGAGAGAGCGCGTGTCGGGCAAATTTTCACAAAGTTTGCCGCCCATGCAAATTAAGATAACGATCAACGACAATGATGCAAATCGTTTTGAGAAAGTTTAACTTATTGTTATAATTTAATATAAATAATAAAAATTAAATAAAACTGGTCAATTTCATTATCCGTAATTCGAACGTTCCGTAAGCTTTGACAGTATTCAATTGCATCCGTAACTTGTATTACGCTAAAATGAAAGTTAACAGTTGTGTTTCATAAATTCGTCAATAAAATTATTATTCGAACTTTATTTTAGAGAGTCCATTAACTTCGAATGATTAACAGAACGCATTATAAATATATCCGCCTGACACCACAAAACGGAGTATTGACGGAGTAAGACAAAATGCCGAGCGTACGAAATTTACAACTGCGGATATACTTTTCCGGCCCGACTTTCGACTGTCGACAATAGTTTCACGAAAGATGGTAGGCATAATAATGTACAATCTTTATTGTCACGACGGTACTTTCACTTCTGAACCGACCACACCCGTGGTAATCGATCGCGATGATCATAAGCACCTCTAAGCATTCGAGTAACGTTTACTCGTATTTTGTAGCGACTCAAGTCTGTTCTATTGCCTGAAATTAATTGCAATGTAGAATTGACTCTTTCGTAATAACTTGCAATTAGTGAATTTTATCGACAATTGGGAAAGAAAAGTATTGCATTAAATATGCAGGTTTGTATAACTTCGATTGCGTTAATATTGAGTAATAATTAAGGGTTAAAACGTTGAACTGATCTAATGTTTAATTCGCAGTTTTTTTCCCTAGTAAATTTGCATCATTGAACTTGTTTTTTGAGATTGTAATTAGTGAAGGATTAGTAAAAAAATTCCTCAACACTGGCTTAATATTTTTTCCTCCACAATCTCTAAAATATTTTCGAAATCATTATTCCATTACATGGTCAATAAATTCACATTTTTGTTCTAATCAAATTCGTAG